TCCGGGCACCAGCCATCGGGCACACATGGCCGGACACACACACGAACATGGGCAGCCGATCCTCAGTGCGCCTGCGTCTGGTGGGGCGTCGGCTCAGAGGTCGAAGCCAAACCACTACGAGTACGAAGAAAATTAGTGGGAGACGATTGATGGGAGAAACATCACCGCTTTAGGTAGCGTCAAGCGACTAAACACAATGCAATAATACTCTCACCGGAGTATCGAGAGCAAGACTTAAGACTTTACACATATTATGGAATGGTGTATATGTTGATGAGGTGTGGGGGGGGGACACACCACACAGTGAGCAGGCCGCGTAGACATCGGAGCAATACACAGCAGTAATACTGAGGCCGGCGGTGACACTTGTATCTTAATTCTGGTTCAGTTGGTGATTGATGGGGATGTTACAGTGCGGGGAGCGAGTACTTGTCCGTAGACACGGTTAGTCGTCGTCTCCCGACCCGGCAAAGCGATGGGACAGTAGGTTAAGTTAGGCCTGCAGAGAAAGTGTTTACTGGCCGAGTCCCCGTGCGCTGTTTCCTCAAGAGTAAAGAGGATTGCGCCGGGACGCGAAGGTCGAGGGAGAGTGGAGGAGGCCAAGGCGGAGTGAGTCTAAGGAGGCGAGCGTACCGTTGTCGTAGGAGGGACACCCCCGCCGTGGGGTGTGCAGGCTCCTGGGTCCTCAGCTGCCTAGTACCACTCAGCTCCTCGCGCCCTGTAAGGATGATGGAGCTTCTTTGGGAAGCTGCAGGGATTGCGGGAGACCTAAACTTACCTCGGATGAATGTTTGCTCATCTATGGACGCGTTCTACGACTCCCTAGTCGTTGTAATTTGTGGTCGTGATTTTAATGTATGGATCGAGTGCTAGCCCTTCGATGAGTCGTCGTCGGCTGCGTCTTGGTGTGTACATTTATGGGGCGAGTGGCAAGATCCGTGATAAGTATCTTTAGTAGAATGCGCCCCGCTTAGCACGGCCGGATTGAATAGTTCAGTACGACTGTAACGAGATTGATTACGTCGTACGTAATCTCGAGTTAGTGTTCAGAAGAGGCTCGCGTCGAGAAGACGCGACTGGTCGGGGAGGCTAGAAACACTAAAGGAATACCTGCCGGAGAAAAAAGAAACTAGTGGAGGGAGGTGTGACGTTGGTCGCCGGTTGGAGAAGTCGCGCGAGGGGCACCCTTCGGTCTGCTTCTGTGATGGTCAGTGGTTCCCAGGATGGACTTTGGTCTTTTACATCGATGTGGTCGGTAGTACGAATTCCTATAGTTCTTCGATGTCCATTTCTACTGCGTCACTTTCGATTCCTGTGGTGTTTCGACCGAGTGCTCGTTCGAGTTCAAGTAACCTAGCGCTAAGTTTGTTTCGTAGTAGTTCGTCGATAATTGCGCATTGGGGTGATTATGAAAATCGAACCCTTTTTTAGTCATCCTTTGGGGTTTTTATACTAAGAATGAAGGAATCGACGGTATCTTGATCGCTTTATTCCTGAGCAGTCTAGTTATGTTTTGGTTCAACGTATAGAACTACTTTGACTCACCTTTTTTACCGCAATTCGAATACTGTTGTCCGTTTTGTATATGTGGGATGCCCTGGCGGGGTATAATTTACTGTCCTACACCATTCTCTCGCCAAAGACGGAGAAAATGGATCTAACGCCTACACAATACGATCACCTAACTACAGTAAATGCACTCCAAGTATGAAACATAGTAGTGGGACACATGACATTGCGGGTGAACCTGAGTGTATTTTTCGACAGGGTAGCACATTTACCGTTTTATTTATTTGCTATGGTAGCCGAGTGTGGCTTATTCGTCAGTAGTAATGTTACTAGGGTCGTGTTCGGTGTCTTCACTTTCATATTTCTCGTTATTTTCTAATATGTATCTAGTGTCCTATATTAAACGCAAAGTCCGGAACAATTCCTTCGGTGCTTTCAGTCATTTCTGTTTAATAGAGACCACTAGTTCACACATAAAAAAAATACGTTAAACTTGCACACTCCGTTATACGAAGAGAGGACGACAAATACCGCTTTTCCATTCTTTCGTCCAAACGAACCTATTACCAAATTCAATCAAGAGTTAAAGACCGACCCCCTTTAAAGAAAAACGGTTCGCCTTTTCTCTTAATGAAAGAAAGTAGTCATTTTTTTCCCTAGATAAAACAACATGTTTGAGCATATGTGTTTTTGTTTTGTATATGACACATTCAATTCCTTGTTAATGGCAGTACATGAAAGCCTACCGTTGGTGGACACAAATTAATTATAAGGTATATACATTTGGAAGCCAACCGAGTAACATATGTTAGCACTAGGAGCAAAAAGGCGATGGGAATTCTTTTTTTAGGTCCATTTGGTAATAGAAAAAGAAGAACCAAAAACAGGGTATTTGTGTAGTTTCTCATGGCATGTAGATTCTAGTAAAGATTTCTTTTACCTCGACGGGAGAGTTCCGACCAAATTTTGCTCACTCGTAGATTGTCGTGTCAAATACAGTGAAATTTATATTCCTGCTATTAGGTCGGCGTTAACACTAGCGTACTGCAACAATAAAATATGGTTTAACTAAGGACTGTTACGATGTCATGTTTATTGGAGTACCAATGAAATGATCTTTTTGTTATGGCGTATTATTTTATGTGTGGACCAATTAAGCCCAAGATATAAATATTTGGGTAAAAGAAACCTGATAATTGGCACACAAATGCGCAAAAAATGGTATTTGCAAACGACGTATATAGGATACTATTGGTCTACGTGCGAAAGATCCTACATGTTTGGAAACCCCCGGGGTGCTGTTGGAATCTATACATAATATACCGATACACGCAAAAAGT